AGATCTGGTGCCAGTTACGGGACTAAAGCCATGATTTGCTCAACACAATCCTTACAGGCTGCCACCCTCAGCGCTTCACAGCTATGCGGCAGATGCACGGCCATGTAGCCATGGTGGCACAAGGGCCATACCACCTCTTCAGAAGCAACTCAGCTGAAACTCCACATGTACACCTATCTCTATCTGCACTCTATCACTTCATTCTTGAAGTAGTTTGGACGTAGGGATAGAGCCTTTATGCTATTGTATATCTTAAAGGAAATCCAGCATGTGCATTTGATACCAGTGCAAAAATACAGGGCGGCAGCAGACCCAATTCTTCCAGATCTGCTAATGTTGATAACTCTTGATGCAACAGATCATCTCCTGTGCAAAAAGCAAAAACACTACTGCCTTGAACAAGCTGCTTGCCAAAGGCAAGGTCAAGACTGAAGGCAGCTGCCCAACTGACACTGCTAAGTTACACTTCAGTCTGCCAGCTTTCCACCAAGCAAACTGCACTGATGCAGCATCAAGTTCCAGAAGAATAATGCTTATCCTACTTCTAATCACAGGCTGGAAGAAGCCTTCATGAAGTTCAGCAAGGGCAGCTGTGAAGTCCTGCAGCCTGGGGAGAAACAAGCAGGCTGAGGGGGGCGATACCCTGACAGGACACGGGGGAATGGTTTTAAATTCAGTAAGAAAATTGAGATTAGATATAAAGAAGAAATTCTTCACTCAGAGGGTGGTGAGGCACCAGAACAGGTTGCCCAGAGGAGCTGTGGATGCCCCATCCCTGGAAGTGCTCAAGGCCAGGCTCTTTAAACTGATGTTTAGTAAAACTATTTTAAGAGCTCACCTGTAAGAGGCAGCAATAAAACATGGTGAGACAGACAAAACTTCTGAAAAATCACCGGTTGATTCAGGTTCTTGAAGTCTCATCTGAATCAGAATTTTTACCTGGCTTTAAAGCCCAGTTTAACCTAGCTAGCCTGTCACGAAACAGAGATCTTGAAGCTAAAGCCAGTAATGCAGCAGTTTAGATGTTACTGCATCTCCAGTCAGTTGCTCATCCCACAGCTTTGTGTAGCTTCAGTACTAAGAAAATTACTTGAACATGTTAGTTCAGACTGATACACAGAAGTTATTCTTGCAGCCACCTAGGGTGACAGAAAGATTTAAAAAATATATTTGCCCCGTAAGAATAGTTCAAGCACAATTAGCTCTGAGAGGAGACGCTGCCTTCACGGCCACTGCTCACTACTGACAGAGAATACTACATATAAGAAGCATGGTTTATAAGTTTTCTTTTGTGCATGCTGTTCAAGTTCTGAACTGAAAGTCTGCCATTTTCTTACCTCGCTCTTAAGACACTTCCCCAGGGCATCAAATCCCCTTTCATCATTAAATGTATTTTTACCTTCTTCTACCAAAAAGGACAAGATTAAGAGGCCAAGGAAAGGCGACAAGCTCACAAAGGAGTTTATACTTTACTATACACAATTTATACTTGAAGAGACTGAAGCTTGCACCTCTGCAAGCTTCAGTCTCTTCAAGTATAAATGATTAAGACCTGGAAGATACTACAGAAATTTACCAAATCTTGGAGGAAATGTAGGCATTTAGTATTAATTGCAGTTAATACAGAATCAACTGCAATGTCTTCTGAATTGCTATTGCTAGACACTGATGTCAGCAAGAAAATGAAGTGACAAACTTAAGTGGTGATAAACCTACAGACTTCCTGTGGAAGACTAAGAGATCAAGCTACAGACCTTCTGTGGAAGAGTGTGCTTCCGCAGATACAGCCACTGCTGTCTGCATCCTCTCTTCAGAAAGAACAGGGAACCCTCAGTACCCCAAGCCCAGGGAGATCCTGCTGTTGACAGCTAAGTGGGTGACACTGGAAATCCAACCACAGTTTAACAGCAGCAAGGTAGGTGCAAGCATTAGGAAGCCATGGGTACATGTGCAATTTGAGACAACAAAGGAAAAATTGACATGGAGATCAGGGGGAGGCCGATGAAGGCTGGCATAAATGGCCTGGGCAAGGCTACAATCTTAATACCTCAAAATTAGAGCTGAACGATGAGTAAAGCAACTAAAAGCCATATAAGTTTTCCATCTGTGGTTTCCTGGAGCATCAGCATGTACATTTGAACAGAGGTCTTTCATTTTAGGATCTGTTCTTATCTATCCATGACTTACTTCCTAGAAGACTTCCAGTAACGTTTCTGGACATCCCCAACTCCTGTTTCAAGTCAGAGAAACTTCTGCTCAGAGACGAGGATGTTACTGTCACTGAGACAGAATACTTTGTATCTCAATACGCAAAACATGTAAAACTCCAGTAGTTTGCTGCACCATCCACAATTTAAAAGGTTCTTGCCAACAATAAAATGTCATCTTTATCCTTCTGTTTCTTATTTAACGCAGACTGAAGGCACATTTTCCCTAACACTGTGATGCTTACAGGGGTATTTGAGTACAGTGCAGCTTCAAAACTGGATCATGTTTTTCTTCTCTGAGAGCTCTTTGGGTCTAAAATTAAGTTCTAGTACGTTGTGCTGCTGCAAGATCAATCATGAAAGCACTCTTCTAATTTGTGGACAAAATGCGCTATAAACAGGAGCCTACTAAACAAAATACTTTGTAAACAGAAACTTTCCCTTAGTTTTTAAGTAGGGACTTCTTGTGTGAAGAACCCTCACGCCAGGTGACTGTAAAACTACCCAGCAGGCCACTATCTGCGGGAGATCGCCTATTTCAATAGAACCTTAGCTCTATTTCCATCAGGTACGCCTGATTAAACGCTCCCGTGCATAACGCAACCACATTTATCATGTCTGTGTGTGCTCAGAGCTCTTACACCCAACGCCCCCCCCATCACACACACTCAGCCCCCTCCCTGTGGGGCCGGGCCGGCTCCCGCCCCGCGGGCACGTGACGCCGCGCGCAGGCCGCGCCGCCGCCATCTTGCGGGGGGCGGGCAGCGGCGGGCCCGCAGCGCCGCCGGGGGGGCGCCATGATGGGGGCCGGGATGGGGGGGGGCGGGATGGGGTTGGGGGTGCGCCTCACGGGACCCCAAAGCCGGCCCCGGGCAGCCCGTGGGTCCCGCAGCGCCCCACAAGAGGCTCTGCGCTGTTCGCAATTGCACAAGAAAAAATAATTAAAAAATAATAAAATAATTTAAAAAAAGTGGAGCCCTGCGCGGACCTGGCAGGATGTGACAGGCGTGTGCAGCCAAGCTGGTTGGGATCTCGGCGTGCTCTGCAGGAGAAACCACCACGACTTGGACGCTGCTCCATGCGCCACGGCCAGAGCACGACATACGCACAGCTCGGGTCAAGAAGCAGGTTTCCAGTTATCAGCACCTCAAACCCAGTGAGAGCCTTGCCGCTTCCTGCAACCCCATCGTCCCCCCCCTGCAGGGGCTCGCAGGACTCATTTCGGGAGAGCCAGACTTGGCGCAGCTCGGCAAGCCAAAATAAACACTTTTTGGACCTGTGCTGTGAATTCGGTATGAGTTCAGTACCGTCACATCCACCCACTGGCTTATGACCTGCCAAACGCGCTTTGGCCTTAAAATGGTACGAGCGTGTACTTGGCATGTTTGAAGCCTTAAAAATCCCTGTCTCCTCTCAGCAGTCCTCAAAAGCATATCCTGTCTCTACCAAGCAGAAAAAGGGCCATTCCTTTACTATTCCTTTCTGCGAGTGGAAGAACTGGACAGCACTGAAAGTAGATTAAAAAATAATAATAATAACTGTTTGTACCTTTTTCTGCTCAGTCCCCTACGAAAATCGAAGGTGTTGGTTTTAACAGCCCATCTGCATTGCAAGTACCTATCTTCCAGCCCTTTCTTCCTCTTTGCACGAGAGGCCATCTATAGACCAAAAACTGCAGAGCTCCGAGGCGATGACTTGGTTGCATAAATATGGGGCAGATTTTTTTGTCAAGCAAACATTCGCCAGAGATGGCCAGGGGGGAGGAAACCCACGTTTAGATATCGCTGCTGCACGTGAGAAGGCTGCAGTGCCACTCATGGAGAGCCCTCGCGCTGTGACAGCCACCTTCCAGCAACAAGTGGCACATCTGCTTTCAAGATGTGCTTTGCTGCTCCCTGACAGCCACCCAGACATCCAGCTCCTCTCTGAACACAAGTTGCAGCTGTGACATTTTAATTTGCTCCTTTAGTAAAACGATTACCACCCCTTCCCAGAGGCCTTCAACCACCTCACCGAACGCAGCTTTTGAGAGCCAGCCTCGCGGCCGCTGACCCTGGGCTGCAGCCCTGATCCTTGCCCAGTCTCATTTTTGGGGAGAGAGAGCAGGCTCTGGGTAAAAATTATCCCAACACCTTGCATTGTTTGGAGCCCCTGGGGGACGCTCTGTGGGGCCGCATGGTTTCCATTTGGCGTTATGATTATTTTTACGAGTTTAGCCAAGCTGCTGCTTGGACTCCTGCATCGTGCAACTCCAGCGGCCTGCAGCGTGCGAGGCAGCCACTCGGGCTTTAGGGGCACCCTGCATCCTATGCTTTAGCAACACGAGCAGAAAGCATGGCTGGCCAGAAAAAAGAAGCCCCCCCACACACTACTACGTCATATGGGGCTGTATTACGTCACAGCCCCACATTCGCAGCAGGCGCTATGAGAAGGGGGCTCTGGGTGCCCTCTGCCCATTTCATGGGGGTGAGGGGCTTCGCCTAAAAAAAAACCACGGGGAGGGGGTTGAGGAAGGAGGGGGACACGCCGTTACCTGCGCTCGGGGGCGGCCGAAGCCCTCCTCGTCGCGGTCCCCGCACAGGGCCCTCCGCAGGCGCTCCAGGTGCTCCCGCAGGGTGACCCGCTGGTGGAAGGAGAAGGCCGGGTGCAGCGAGGCCATGGTGAAGAGCAGCAGCAGCTCCTCCTGCGCACCGAAACCCAGGCCCTGCGCGGCGGGGAGGGCAGCCTGGCCGTTCTCCCCGGCGCCGTCCATCACCACCACCACGTTGTTGTCGTCGTCTTCCTCCTCCTCCTCCTCCTCCACCGCCACCTCCTCGGCCGCCTCCTCGTCGGCGGCGGCGCCGGGCGGGGGCCGCCTGGCCGGGCAGCTCTGCAGGATGGAGTCCACCTGGGGCAGCAGGCGGTGCAGGCGGCCGGCGGCCTCGCGGTTCTCGGAGCCCAGCAGGGCCAGGTAGACGATGAGCTTGGAGCGCACGGCCGGGTCGCGGAAGTCGCCCAGCTGCCCGGGGTCGCTCAGCCCGTTGGCCTTGGCCTCCGAGTCGCGGAGGCAGTGGTAGTCCTTGCGGGCCAGGTCCTCCAGGCACGAGCCGAGGAAGCGCAGCTCCAGCGGGTTGCACAGGTCCAGCAGCCCCACCATGAACTCCAGCCGCTGCGCCGAGCCCAGCACCAGCCCGAACCACTCGTACACCGTCTCCTTGTCGGTGCGGGCCGCCGCCGAGCCGGGACCGAGGGCGGCAGCGCCCGGCGTGGCGGCGGCGGAGGGGGTGGGGGGGTGGGGGGGAGGCGGCGGCGGGGGCGGCGGGCCGGGCCCGGGCCCCGTGCCGGTGCCCAAGCCGTGCAGCTGGCTCGGCCTGTCCGGCCCGCACCCCCTCCCCGCCGCGGCTCCCCCGCGGGCCGGCGGCCGGGGCAGCTGCTGCAGCTGGAGGTGACAGTCCAGGGCCGCGCCGGGCTCCTTCAGACCCAGCCCCGCGGCCGCCGCCGCCGCCGCCTCTTCCGCCGCCGCTGCCTTGTGGCTCGTCTGCTTGAGGGGCAGCTTCATCTTCAGCATCCTCGGCCGCGGGCGGCCGCCAGCGTCCCGCGGGGCCCGGCTGCGGGGCTGGGCGCGGAGGGGAAGGGGAGGAAGGGAAGGGAGGGGAGGGAGGAGAGGGGAGGGGAGGGGATGGCGGCGCTCAGGCGGAGCCGCCGCTCATCGCTGCCGCGGCCCTGCCGCGCGCTCCGCTGCGTGCCGGGAAACGGGGGGGGCGCAGGCAGCGAGGGAGGGAGGAGGGCGGCGGCTCCCGCAGCGCCCCCCCGGCCACCTCCTCCTCCTCCTCCTCTCTTCTCCTCCTCCTCCTCCTGCTGCCCCTATGGGCGCTGCCGACGTCAGCGCGCTCGCGGCCGCTGGGCGGGGCGGCCGTTGGGGCCGTTAGGGCGGTTGTGGCGGTTGGCCGCCGGGCTGTGTGGCGGCGCTGCCTCAGGGGTGCCCGAGGGGTGGGCGCTGTGAGGGGGCTCCCGCTGCCCCGCGCTGTTCCCATAATCACACGATCAAGCAGCCCGAGCAGCCCCGCTGCTTGCTCCGGCTCCCACACGTCCACATAAAGGCATAAAAACCGAATCCCCAAACCCGTCCCATCGTGGTGAAGAACAAAATGTGGTCTACTAATCACAGTCAGCGTCCCTAAACGGCTTACAGCAGCACAGCACGAAGGGTCGCTGCTAGCCCCCCCTTATCTGTCTGTCCGGGAGCTGACTGTGCTGCCATGAAAGAGCCTATTTATGAAAATGCAAGTAAATGTCCTGCAGATTGTAATAATCTCGCATGCATTGCTCAGATTTGACACAGAGCTTCAGTGTACTCTTCAATGGTGGTTACAGACTAAACCATATCCTGATTTCTTATATATATATTCCGTGAATACATATACTCACACATTTTATTAAAAATTAACTTGTAGGTAGTATACATTAGGTTTATCCTTTCCCAGTGGCTGCTTTGTCCTCTTCTAGTAATACAAACAGACTTGAACCCAAATCAGCGAACTGATTTCTTTTCTACTCTTTCAGTACCTTCACAGCCCGTTGTCACTGCCCTCACGGCCTCTTCCAAGGCTTGTGACAGCAGAAATGTAGCAGGGAGTGGGAAATTGCTCTTCCTTTTTCTCCCAGATTTTTAGCAGTTCATCAGTCCCAGAACTAGGAAGGTGAAGAGTAGGTGTAAGAGGTCTCATAAACCCATTTATTCTTCCATTTTATCTTCCTACGCAGTTCACTGGTCAGGGCCTGGCTGGACCGATGAATCACTCCAAATCCTTACAGTTAACAGAACAGTTATCACAGTATCCCAGCATAGTATTTTCTTACCATTATGAAGCAATAATTCTTGTCACGGTTTTTGTCCTGTTTTGTTTTTCCAGATAAAATCAACCATGACGATCGCAGCAGATATACCAAGCTGAAATCATGGATTTGCTGAAACATGACTGGAGGCTTCTGCTTTGAACAGCTGTTTGGTCTGAATAAAATTTGCAGGATCAGAATTAAAATTGTATGGGTGTTAGAAGTAACATTTCTCATATTTTAATAAGATGTGATTTGAATAAAATGTGACATAGTTCCAAACAGATAACACCACAGAGAGGGGAAAATGAATTTAATTTTGGTGGGAGGGAAGAAAGGAGATGAGAGAAAGTCCACTGAGCCATTCCTAAGTCCACAAAAGTAAGAAAAATTGCACACGCACAAGGGTAATGGTTGAAAGTACACTCCCCCAGTCCAGAAAATACTTGAGCATGTGCCTACATCCATTCCAGTGTGATAGTTCCCAAGCTGATGCTAAGTGTCACAACTAAGCTTAAGAACCTGATTAACTCAGCCCCTTTGTATCTCCGCTTTTCTAATGGTTTAAACTATGATAACTGAGGAAAACAGATTAGAAATACAGGGAAAAAAAAAAAAAAAAAGGACAGGGAATGGTGTGAGAAGGCAAAAGGAAGGCAAAGGTACCCTAAGTGGGGTTAAAAGTACTTCAGTAGCTCAGGGAGTTGGCAGCAAGAAGAAACAGGACAGTATGGAACAAGAACTGAAACTCTGAGTATCCAGAGGAAATGAAAGTGAAACTCAGGGCTGGGAATGGAAGAAGAAAGCAGCAGGGCAATGCATGAACGCTGCTGTGATACACTGCCCTTGAGATGTCCTAATCTGATTTTCTTAGCAGCATGTTAGAGGAGATGGGAAAAAGAACTGTGACTTCTGCGTGATGCATGCCACAGACTCGTAGGGAAACAAGGGCAAATCAGTCAAAGCAGGTACACACCAGCTGGTTATGGTGCGGTACATACGGAGGGAATAGCCTAACTAGAGCAGCAAGTAAAGATCCCCCATAAAGGTTTGGAGCAGTTTTGCTCACTCATGATTTGCCATTTATCTTAGGAGAGTTGGTAGATTGTTTTTTTTTGAGTAGCTTACCTTTTGTGAAACAGGTGAACATTACCTTTCAGTCAGGACTCTCTGGAAGAAAAAAGTCTTGAGAACACGACAATTTGAAATTCACTGAAAACAAAACCTGACAAATCAATATGTTACTACATTTAAAAAAATCTTATTGTTTTAATGGTTTTTGAATATTTGAACTCATTTATTCTTTCCTTTGTCCTCCTCTTTTTCAGGATGAGCTGAACAAGCTTATATTCCTCTGTGCAGATGGGGTCTAGTGGCTTGGAGCAAGGCAGCCTGATGGCATGTGGAAGGGTTAGGGTGTCACAATATCACCCCTGAGGTTGGATCTCTCAGTCAAAAACCAAGTCCACTGATCAAATGGCAGCATTTACTTAGCCATCTTCCCAAACACATAATTTGTAGCCTGGTTATATTTTCAATAACGGAAAGATGCATTTAAGTGCTTGTGTTAACACTGATTTTAAAAATCTGATATCATAACTTCCTCTTTAAGTAAATTAAAAATGGTATTGGCAGGAAGTCTTTATCATTTAAGATCAGACGTGATGGATGGATCATTTCATGGTACGTTATTAGACAGTTCTGAAAGCTAAAGCTATGTTTAAGGAATGATATTTTTCCAATACGCATGTGCGGAATGAAGACATGCACTTTTCGGACTAATGTAACTAGTGACATTCAGAACATGACCCACAGTCCTAATTTCATTTGCACCCTGTGCAGGAATAAATATACTGTTTTAAATGCAGTTTAAGTAGCTTACACGTGGCTTTGGATTTAAAGTTACTGGAAAATAAGTTCAGTGTAGGCTGAGGGTGTGTCCCTGGGATTAACATCATTATGAAAGCCCATTTCTAAAGTCAAAGTTGTTGGTTATTCATTTGCAAAGGTCACCTGTCCCAGGACTCTGTGGCAAGCTGGCCAATAAAGGCAACGTTACGAAACACGGTTGCAAATTTCAGTTCACCGTTCAAGGGAAGCTGAACTGAGGCCGCAACCCTTTTTTTTACGTAACTGTCAAAGGTGAACGTTTAATATTTTCAGCTGGATGCAGATGAGAAATGTACGAAAGACTGAAACATTACCAAGCTGCCAAGATTTCAGCTGATGTGCAGAGTGGGCTGCCTACCTGAATGGGGGTTCCAACCCGTGGTACAAATGGCAGTCTGTATTGGTTTGGTCTTCTCTGCGTAAAATAGTAAATAACAGTTAACAAGAGAGTTTAGGGAGAGCAAAGAATATACCAGCACTGGGATACTCACTTATGCACAGAAAGCTACTGCCTGATCTAGGTGAGAAATTGCTCTGGGGAGAACAAAGTGATGGGATTTCCAAAAGCATCCAGCTTTGGGCTTTCAGATATTGCAGAGAGGCCAGTGACTGCAGGGAGTTTCAGGTGAACCACTGCTGTGGGCTTTCACAATGGGCCCATGGACATGTGCGTACAGGCAATCTGTGTGCACAGTTCTGCCAACACCAAGGTTTTGCTGTCTTGGGAAGTCCTGCCTAAGTTAGGCCACTGGGCACCAGGCCATTCGAGCACATGCCCAAATCAGTCCCTGTTCTAGTTAGCAGTGAGGTACATCCTTAAGTGTAGGGCAGTGAAACTTAAACACCTACACACAGAAGAAAAGACCTAGGCCACCTTAAACATCTGATTAAAGTTAATTGAAATCTGTTCTTAAACGAGGGCCTGCAGGAGGAATGTAGGTGTGGCTCCGGCACGCCAGAGCCCAAGCACCAGGCCTGCCTGCAGTTAGTCATGTACGTGATAATTGTGTGTGCAACGAGCACCCGGGAATCAAACTTTCCGGAGAGGTTTGTTGGCTGGATTATTTCATCATCTCTGCATTTATGCCAGCAGGAGAAGAACAAAATCCCACTCAGACCGTGTGCACCAAACGTCCTTCAGAATAAATACGGACTCAGAGGTGCTTGGCGAAGAAGCTTTACATCCTGACCTTTAAAATGTGCAGTCACGGTTCGGGAGACCAAGCGATGCCAGCGTGAGCTGCAGAAGAGTCATGAGTCACTTGTGAAATCTCTGCTGCACAGAAGGAACACGTTATCCCTTCACTCTGCTGGTAGTGCCAGTCTCTTGCTGTCTTAAGAGACCCATCTGCTGCTGCCCAAATTAGACACACAGCTCTTGCCGTCACCATGCAAAGCAGTCGGTGCTCAGAGCGTGGCATTCTCCCTAGCCCGAGCCTTGCTTAGCATCTTACCTACAGCAAGGGAAACCCCCTCCTGCCAGGCGTGGCTTACATCCCATGCATGGCCTCAAGAGAGGAAGGGCTGCTGCGCAGCTGACAGAGCTGATTTCTCAGCACTGGGACTCTGCAGGTCTTTGCCAGCAAGCCCGGCTGTAGGACAAAAGGAGAGAGCTTCCTTTGGGGCAGAAGTTGTTATCATGAGCCGATGGGTGAAATGGGGGTCTGGTGAAGAACTGAGCACCTCAGCTGCACGGTTCACGGCATTACCTGAGGAATTTGCTACTACTCATTTGTCTTCAGCTCTGCACACTTTGGCTGGCTCACGGCACACAACATTGCTGTTGGGAAAAAAAAGTTCAAGCTTCAGCTGACCTCAGTGTGCCATTGCTGCTTGTTTGAGTCCCCAGCGTATGTCTTAGCCTGGAAATAATGCAGGAACGCTTACCAGAGCAGATGTTACACTGCCATTCAGTTATTTTAGAGTAGGTTGTGAAAATATGTAAATCCAGAGAAAAAAAACCTTCACTTTCCCCACGCATGTCTCCTGCTATGTATGCATAGATGTTGAGATTCTCTTAGTCCAAATGACCAGTCCTTGAAAGCTTCGATAATTGCCCTTCTGGGATGTCCAGTGCTTCGTTCAGGTGTGGATCCCTGCTCCTAAAGTGGGACTTCTCCATTTGGCAACCCTCTCGAAAATAGAGCAAGCAATTGGAAATCTCTTGATGGGTAGGTGTTTCAGACTGGAGATGTTTCTCATTTTCTGCTTCTGAAGAATGAGTAGGTTGCACTGAAATAGTGACATCTGTGGGAGATTTTAAAGACTGATATATATTTATTAGGACTTCATGGCACATAAGTGGGATGGCTTACAATCTGTGATATTTGAGGAAAAGCATCACAGAAATCATTCTGGGGAAAAAAAAAAAAAAAAGAGTAATTCAATTAATCAATAGAGACAATACCTCCTGAGGAAAAAAAAAAAAAATCGGAATAAATTCCTGGTCCTACTGAAATCAAATTTGGTATTTAGTATCAAGCTCAGGAACCTCGAGCAAGCCTGAAGCAGGGATCTGTTGTACAGAAAATATCTACAGCATCTCTGGGCACTGAGCATCAGTGTGGCTCCTTGGAGCTACGACGTGCAGCCCATGGGAAGACGGATGTGTCACCAGTGCTGCCCTCAGCTCAGCCAGTCTCCAGCCTTACTTGTAGCTTGACCTTGCATGTAAAAGTGACAATGCTTGCACTTTGCTTAGCAGACAGACATTTCATGTGGTTGAAGCCCAAAGCATCATTAATTAATCTTTTTTTTTTTTTTTTTTTTTGTCCTCAGTTACAGGCTGTCCTTAATAATCAAAGACAAGTGAAGGGTCACAAAATTACCCCATTTCACCCTGCCTCCATGTCACCCCTACCTCTGGGGATGTTTTTAACAGAATATAATTATCATCCATAGTCATCTACTACCTCTTGAAAATAATAGGCTAGTCATGCCTTGCTTTCTCTAGCATGTATTGAACGAGCAATCAGAATTTCAAAGAGGAATACCCTTTCTTTCTCAGGAATCTGGAAAATATTACAGGCTCTGAAAAAAGGAAGCTTCATGTCCCTTCCCCAGAGGTCCCAAGATTGCCTGCTGCAAGGGAAGACATCATCTGTAGAAGCCAGGCTGCCTAAAGGACAACATGGATAATGCCTGGAGTGTTTCCAAGATGGGCAGTGATGCTGTATCCAGAGCTGGCTGGCTCAGGACTCGTGCAGACTAGTGTTTTTGCCCGAGGTCCCCGTTCACGGGCTTCCTTTTCTTCTGCCATACACCTGAAACATCTGCTTGCCATCTGTGGTAAACTCATCCTGCCACGAATGAGCCTTCCTCTGTATTTGTGCAGCAGCCAAGGCATTGATCGAGGCCTCTAGAAAGTAATATAATATATAATAAAATACATAATTAAGAAATCCTGTCTTAGTCAGGGACACGTTTTGCTTTTTATATCTTTAATATTCCTGGTGTACTTTGAGACACTAAATGAATAACAAACTTTAATACTTTGAGTTTGCCTAAAGATGATAAAAAAGCCCTGACGATAGAAGGCTTAAATTGGAAAACGTTGTGAACATGCAGTCCACAGTGCAGCTCTCTTATCTGTCTTGATGACTGGCTTTATCACCTCCCAGAGAAAAGGTGGAAAAATCAATTAAATCAAATGAATTACACCGTTGAAACCTTTTGTGGGATCCCTAAAAAGGCACTCCAGTTCCTTGGGAAAGGACGTGCTATACCTGGGTTTTAAATCATTTCACCAATTTAACTTTTTACCAATTTAATTACTAATCTGTGTCGGAAGCTAGATGCAAGATAATTTTGCCCAATTCTTTCTTTCTCTCCCTTGCCTGCTTTAAAGGCTCTCCAGGGATTGCCTTTCTTCAGCTCTGAACATCCTGTTTAAATACTTCAAAAAAAACTTTGAAATGTGAACATCTAGCTTGGATATGTAGCTTAAATCCAGCATCTAATGAATTCCAAGGGGTTCCTAGCTCCCCAAATTTCTCTGAACATCACACTCTGGCTAATTTTAAAATTATATTGTCCTAGGAACTTGTGTTTTTAAGCACTTAGGGAGCATAGTAATGAACACGAGAGAAAAGCCAAAGAAACGTGACAGAGACCTGAGTTTCAAACTCCAAGTGCCAGAGATGTGAACATCTTTTCCTTTTAAATAAGCTCTCAACCATAAAAGAAAAAAAAAAAAAATCTGCTGAAGCTGATTTGAGACATGCAGCCTAACAAGAGGTTTCCTCTCACTAGAGCTCTGAAAATACTTGGACTTTTTTTTTTTTTGCCATCTGCCAAGCACTTTTCAAATACTGTTTGCTTAATTTTAACCCTCTCCTGAGGGACCAGTAAAAAATTACTGTGTTCTTGTCCAAGGTGCGGAAATTGAAACAAACACGAATAGCCTCCAAGCAGCAGTGGAAGCTCTGGTGGAAGAGAGGGGCAAGCCACACTGCCCACACCAGCCCTGTGTTTCACTCAGCCCACTGCCAGGGCACAAAACCTTCCTTATTTCTATCTTCATGTCTCCTGTCTGCAAATGGACCTCATACATGGAGCACAGGAGGGTGTTTAATGACAGAACTGAGAAACGTGGCTGAACCTCATCATCTCCAGCTAACCAAACACTGACACATCACCTTCTACCGTAACCACTGCCAAACGTATACACTTGGTACGTTTTAGCACTCTCAGTTCTCTTGTTTTGTCTCACGTCAAAGTATTTGTTGCAGTGGATAAGCCTCAATTACACATCTGAAGAACACATGCTCATACCACCATGCAACATCACCCAAGCGTTCAGAACAGCGGTGGTTTTCTTGTTGGTCATAAGACCCAGCAGGCAAGGCCTAATAGCTTGCTTCCCACTGGCTTCTCTCTCCTGTGGCCATCTCGAAGCTTTAGTCTGAGCAGCATGGCGGAATTGGTCCACAGAGTGCAATTAATTGTAGATTATAAATATAGTGTCAGGAACTTTGCCAAGGTGATAATATTAGGCAGTGCTCTTAGGCACTCAAGTAGCGCGATTTAACCCTAAGTAGTATCCACATTTCCAAAGATGATCAGAGCTGACAGATTTTGACTCAAAAAAAAAAAGTCAAAACTATGCTTTTGAAAATTATGCTGCATTGCATTCAGTGTGAATTAGAGAACAACATCAAACCTGAGAAACACTGCTTTCCATTAAATAAAAAGTATTGTTTGAAATAAATTCTCTATCAACTCACATTGCAAAGAAGGCAGCAGAAACGGGACGTTACGTTAGGAGCTCAGTATTCCTAAACTGCATTGCCTGACCCTGCCAACAGTCCACACGAAGATCCATTTTACTGCACCGTACCACTATAAAAAGAAGCTTAAAATGCAAGCAAAGTAATTGGAACCAGTCAAAACTTCCAACAAAATGTATTTGCATTGAAAAATGTTGTTTTGCCAAAGCTCAAGTGATGTGTTGGGATACATTATTTGTGATTAAATCCTTAATGGTGTCTGAAAACTGGCATTATCTTCTTACTGCCAAGCAGGCATAAGCAGAAATGGGATTTTTCCAATCTTGCAATGGATGCTTCAACACAGCTCTGCTGGATAAAAATAGCTTCCAAGCCTAATGCAGATTGATAACATTTCCAAACGATAGGAGAAATTCTTGTCCTGAGGCTAGCTACAAATTTTGCTCGTGTCTTCTTCAAAGTCCATTTACATGATCAGAAGGGTGCCAAGTTGCTGTTGTACAAATGAGAGTAACTCAGAGCACTGGGAATATCGTCTCAAATGAAGCTTTCATATACACCCACAGTACAGGTATTTTATAAAGTTTGCTGTCACAACCTTCTTGGCACAGAAAGTCACAACTATAAAGCAGAGCAGCCGTTCTGTCTCCTGTATGAGGAGACAGAACGGCTGTGAAGAGGAGAGGGCAAGGTTAAGAAGAAAGTGCAGGCCAAATACTGTCTAGTGCTCAGGAAAGAGGCCTGAAGAGTGCTCCCACACTCAACCTGTCTGCGTGTAAGTGTGTTCTGGGACAACAGCATGAGCTGCTCCAGCCCCACTTGGGCATGGCCCCACCTTGTCCTAGGTGGAAGGCTCCCACCATGTCTTCTCCATCACCACTGGTGCTTTTCTGATCCCACTGCAAATAGGCTCAGGTAGCTGAGCGTGCAAAAAAAATTACTATTTTATTTTAAACTTGGTAATTATAGTTTTCCATCCGTTACTTTTCTGTTTTGATCTTCGAACTCTCTCACCATCAGACAAACTTCATGTTGAGGCAAAGCAAGACTCTGGCTAGGACTAAAACTGCGCTTCTTCCAGCTCTGACTTACACCAGCTTAAACCATCATGGACATGTGTCGTAAATGTTTTCCAAGCCTAGCATGAAATCTGCAGGTTTGGGACAGTGTTAGTTGATTTAGAGCTATTGCTAGCTATACCCTGGAGATCTCTGCAAGGTCAAAACTAATTCTTCGCAGAGACGACCAAGCAGACATCACTGATACAAGAATAATTAGATACCACATTTCAGTTTACTAACTGACAATTTGTTTGGCAAAGAGACATCTTCTATTACGCATATCTTGAACTACTCAGTCTCTGTTTTCAATGTTCTTTGCTCAAATCCATGCAAAACCAAAGTTTTTCCTGAATCCCAGCCCACCCATAATACTGAACTATCAGAGAAAAATTAAATATTTTCATTTGTGCTCCCTTTCAAGAGAAATAAACAGAAGAGCATAGATATACCATACTCGTATGTGCTGGCACGCAGGGAAGTCATCCTGCTCTGCTTAAAGAGCAGCAAAGGCAGGTTTCTTCGTTTAGATAATTGATGCATGCGTAGCCATCCTTAGAGGTACCCACTCCCTTTTGGCTGGCATCATCCCTGCCTGCCTTCCTGCCTGAACCCCCCTTTCCATCTGTTCGCAGGTGGCATGGTGGCACTGCAGTGGGACTTGAGAGCAGGTGATGGGACACCAAAGTCCTCTACGGTGCTCAAGGGATGTGGGTGTTGCACCAGGGACACGGGTAAACTAACTGAGCAGTTGGGCAGAGGTCATGGGCATGTCCCACAGGGACAGAGGGTAGAAAACGCACAAGGCATGCTGTCGGAGACAAAGTTGTTGGGTCCCCATCACTGGGTTTCCTTCACATTGAGCTGTGCAATTTGTACAACCATGAGGCCTGCTCTGCTCGGGGCTGAACAAACCCAGGGACCTCAGCTGCTCCTCATATCGCTTCCTCTCCAGACCCTTCACCATCTTCATTATCTTCCTTTGGACAAGACTAATGGCCTAAGACTTTGGACAACTCTCTAATCATTTTCTGTCCTTCTTATATTGGTGAACCTTCCACTGTAAGATCTTAAAACATTTTACAAACAGCAATATGGTAAAGCCCGGCACATTTTAGTCAGGTCTTCTTTTTTTCCATCTCCTGTTGCAGACAAAAAGCTGAGGTGCTGAGAGGTTGAAGTGCCATGCTCAACCTGTAGAGGCACAGCCCTCAGACTTCCCAACAGGCACACCCTTCTGCCCTGAAATTGCATCTTGAAATGGGGAAGCAAGAAAAGAAAGCTGCTTCAACAAAATTGTAAGCTCAATTTTAAATTGGAGTAAGTAGGTAATGGGAATACGAGGACCTGGGTAACACACATGAAAACAGTGAAGGAAGGTGACTAGAGAAGGGTGGTGGGATTAAACTGGTGAGATGTTCTCCTACTCATTGTAGCAATTAGCCATCTGGCAGAAGTGTAAGGGAGACAGATATTATGTGACATGCACCAGCCAACTCCAGTGCTGGTGATAACAGCACCAGAAGCTCATGGGCCTGCTGCCGGAGGGTGACACCAGCCCCAGGCAGGAAGGTGGCGGGGCCTGCATCGCTTAGCCCAGGTGTCCTCACAGAAATGGCCCAGGCCCTGGCTGCAGGAGGGATTTCCTGTAGGCCAGGCCATGACAAAATAAATAAATCCAGACTTGCCAGCCCATTGATAAGAGAAACGAGAGTTGTTTTTTTTTTTTTTCCCTCCCCTATCTTTGAAGGAGGATCCCTGCCTGTCACTTTTAATTAGCCAAATTATGGCTGTCATGGCATTATGCGTCTCATTAAGTACTAGGAGTCTGCCTCAGATATTACAGGGAAATTACAGAGCCAGACTTGCTAAGATTCCTTCTCCCAACCAGAAGAATATGATATTTCCCTGAATCAAACCTTTGTTTCATCCCAGCTCATTTTTAATTGTTTTACATCTTTCTAATAGTAACTAAGGACTTTAGTTCAGTGGTGCTATTCTCAGAAAAAAATAAATAAATCAATAGATGGACAGGCCTCTGTATTACCAGGCATACTGACCTCTCGCTCTTACAGCCAGGATGGTGAAGTGCCACATACCTTTGCCTCAAGATACCTTGCACATAATGTCTTAATATTTTTCTATCAAAGGCACGCAACCATTTACTTCTGCAATGGAAATTCCTCTCCCTCACTGAGGTTTATGAGGTTTTGCTTATAAATGCGGCACACATCACTGTTGTAATTCTTCCCCTGCATAATGATTTATCTATCTATTGGAGACAGCTGTCAGACAGGCTCCAGTTCAAGTACAGTGTGCTGCAGAAACAGGCTATACCTTTCCACAGCGACCATGTTTTTCCTTACCTTGCTGTTGCTCTAAAGAAGTCATAGATCCAAACCTACCTGAACCATTCCTACTAACACAGGCATTTATATGCAAAAAGCAGAGGAATAACCACTGAATAAAAGTGGTTTTTGAACTCTATATTAAAATCTTATTCCATCCACAAGAGTTGATAATGCATAGCTTTCAGCTACCCTTACTCTCCCTAAGTATTTAATTACAGAAGCCTTTGGGATCTCAGGCAAAAATGCGGGTCCCGTTGTCCTCAGCACAAACACAGAACAAAAGGATGGTGAGTGCGAAGCATGGGTGTAAGGCCAGATGCAATGGGCAATCGGTGGGTAAATACATGGAGGCAATGAAGTGATATTCATCAGCACAAGATGTCCTGATCTCAGCACCCAGGTGCTTAGCCCTTGTCATTGCTTTCTATCAGCATTGTAAAAAGGCAGGGTGCTTTAAGGTGACCAGTGAAAGCAGTTAATAAAACAGCTGCATGCATGCCTTCATTAAACTCTACTACAGTAGGAAAATTGGCGTTGGAGAAAATCCAATGGTGTTTATTTAACTTGCATTTTCAAAAGTGGAGACAGCAAGGTCTAGGGGACACCAGCTTGAGGGGCTTGTCCCTGTAGGGACAGTGGTGGTGTGGCTCCCAGCACAAGCGCAGGAGATGGCAGAGGGAGGGAGGAAGCAGTCCCAAACCAAGACCGGGGAGAACGGCCAAGGGGGAGCAGTTGGAAGGGAGGTGGAAGATGGGCAACATGTGGCAACAATATTGAAGGGGATGGGAATGAAGTGCTGTGTAATGCAGGAAAAGGAGCACAGAGGAGAGAGGTCAGGTGGCACAAACACTGGGGAGAAGCTCAGCTCGCCCAGCACGTTTCAGCCTGAAGAAAGGATGACACACAAGATGATGGGTGCAAGGACACTGATCAAGGCTGCAGCCACGTTGCATAAGCTCAGGGAGCAATATAGCTATACCTGTGAGGGGCAGAGTGGTCGCCTGCATCTCTGAAGCTTTGCCTGTTTTCCAAACGCATTTCCAGGCTTTGCTACTAACACCAAACATACCGTTTACTTTCTCTTTCCCCTCAGACATACCAAGTCTCCCTGGGAAAATACAGTTAGCCTCTATAAAATCATCAGCATGCTGTTTAGTAAGTTTAGTCCCTTCCAAGTCCTGCTATGCAGTTAAAAACTGGACCACGTGCTTCCTGTTGAAGCAGAACATCGTGTCCCACCTTGGAAAATACACTACATTTGAGCGTCTGCATTTAGTGGGGCAAACTAATAGGACCGGCAGGGCAGCAAACGTGAGACCTCTAGTACACGAGCCACTAATTTACCAGTCTTGTAAATAAGATACAGACCAGTCAATAAAGCAAAATTCAATTTAGTTCTCTCCAGGGGAGAAAATCAAAAGAAGAGACCCAGAAAAAGAAGTAAAAAAGAGAGATTTTGGCTCCTGAACATCTTCTATCCGTTCCTTTTCAAAATCTGCTTTTATTTATCCTCTGGTTTTCATTGATCTCTGGCGATAAATGTTCCAGCTGAGAGAACTGAGCTTTAACAGACAATTTTTCTTCCCTCTGCCAAAAGTGATCAGGTTTCCTCTATGAGCAGTGCTCAAGAGCCCTCAGTCAAGTTGAAATATATCTCAATTCAGAGGATTATAACCAAATTAAATACAGCTTTGCTCTCAAAGATTATTATATTTTTTTAGGATCTCCAGAAGACATTTTCATTCCTTTTCACCCTAAAACACACAGATTTATTGTCAGCATATGGTGTTTTCTGAAATCCAGCACAAGTTTTGTGTTGCACCTTCACATACTACAAACCCTCATCCTCTTCCCTCAGCCTGCCTGTGACTTCCTTCCTCACCCTCCTTTGCCAGACACCTCCTGGTCCCCATGCTCTCACCTTCTTCTCACCTTCTGCTGCCATTTCCAGACCCGAGTATTCATCCCTCAGCCTGCTGGCACTGTCACCTTCGTGTACTCATCCCTACAGGTCCCCAGCAGGGGACAGGATGAGTCCAGAAGCCTCCAGGAGACCCTCATCCTGCAGCAGATATCACCTGGGCCCTGCAGGCTGCTGGGTTGCTGCTCAGGAGCCTCCCATCTGACTGGCACGAGGTGAAAATTAGCTACTCACAGATCTGCAAATCAAAAAAAAAAAAAAAAGAAAGAAAAAAGTGTAAAAGTGCTGCTTGAAACCAGCCCGCCTCCTCCTTACTGCTGCTAGTGAATCACTTTTTCCTGTTCCCCCTTTTTTTTTGTTTGTTTGTTTTTATTGTGTGTTGTTGTTTTTTTTCTCCCTCCTCAGCCTCTCTCAAGATATATTTGGGTATTTTCTGACTGCAAGCATCTCAGAGTAAGCTTCCTCCCATCCCAAAGCTCCTTTTTATGACACAGGAATTAAATTCAGTGGCAAACCCCAAGGAGCAGCTGATTTAAACACTGTTTACTGAGGGAAAGTGCTTCTTTTAGCCTAGATTTGAGGCATCTGTGTGTAGCCATTCCCACCCACCCCCCCAAAAAAAAAAAAACAACCATGCTCTCAGTGGTTGAAACAGCACAGCACAGCACAGCGTGCCACGTTCGCAGTGTGGGCCCTGGCACTTCTCATCTAAATGCTGCGAAGCGGGAGCCCACGTACGAGAGCTGTGGCATTTGCATGGCAGCACCTCGGAGTGCTCACACCGGGGCTTCTGAGCTTCCCACGTGCCTGACGTATATAAAGTGTAGGTGCACGCATGAAGGGGAACGCTTGCCAAGAGTGTATTTCTACGTGGGTTTTCCCTGCTTCATCTCTTTCCCATCCCCTGTAACGAAACCTCCCAACCTGCTGAAATCAGCAGGCTTGCGTTTTAGTGGGTCAAGTGGCCCAGTGTGCAAAGCAATAGGTAAATTAAGCATTGATTGTGCTTCGGTAAATCGGGAATTACTTGGGGGTAATTAGCTAAACATCACCTAGTCTTTACTGAAAGGGGGTTGCTAGCTGAGGCCACAAAGGGAGTGAGGACTTTGTGCAGAAGTGGCTACTTTTGCAGCTCTGTTACCATTATGGCCTGGCTGGTTAGTGCAATTAGTAGCATAAACCACACTAATTTCATGTGGCAATGGTGAGTTAATGCATCTGTAAATACTGCTCAATACTGTATGTAAAAATATATGTTAAAAAAAAGTATGAAATTAAACTTCCTGCCATTATAGAAATTCAGTTTTAGTGTGCTGGTGGAAACCCAACAAGCAAAGCTGTAAAAGTAGTGTGAGCAGGTTACTAAGAAATTCCTATGACACCACCAAATGTTTCAGTTTTAGAAGGGAAATGTTCAACTCGCAGCTTGACTGTCTGCTGCTGGCTGCTTAATACCGCAACCTAGATATCGCTCGATCAGGGCTCATTGGGCTTTTTGTATGCAAATTCCCACAACTCAAGCACTTCCTAGCACACGCAGCCAGGAGCACTCGAGCATCAGTCCTCGTGGGGGTGAGTCAAAGCCCCAAGGCTCAACCCCAGGCATAGGGGGGTCCCTGACCCCACAGCTATGGGGGAGATGAGCAGGGTGTCCCCACCCTGGCCACGCATCGGAGGGCTGCTGCTCCCTGCCGTCCTCCCGAGGAGGAGGAGGAGGAGGAAGGAGAGGACGACATGGGCCCAGACAGCAGTTGTTTAGCTTGGCCACCCTCACCTCCCGCCGTTTTCCCTGGCAGCATCCAGTCATTCCCACAGTAAGCCCAGTCTGGGCATGAGATGCTTGCGTTCAGCTGCTGCTCTGGGTGTAGCTGAAGTTTTCCCGAGGAGTTCAAGCCCGTGGTTCAAAACCCTTCACAGCTTTGGCCAGACAGGAGCAGGTCTCCCTGGCAGGGGGATGAAGGTGGCTGCCCAGCATCCAGCCCTTCTGCTTGCTGAGTGGTGAGGGCTGTGCAGGAGAAGGTGCGAGAGCTCTTCACAAAAACCCACAGGAATCTCATAGCAGAAAGCGTTCAGCAGCCGGAAACACAGGAGTGGAGCCAGCTCCCCCGGACGTGAAAACCATTACTTAACAATTTCATTCCCTTCTTTTTGGAGGTAGACAGAGACGTCCAAAAGTGCAGAGCAAATCAGTACTTCACATTAAAAAAAAAAAAAATACACAAAACCCTCAAGATTTTAACAAAATTCATAGAATGTAAGAGAAGCACGTTTGTCTGTAAAAATGTTTTCATGGGATCGCTGAGTGAGCTGTGAGTCCTGCTGATGTTTTTTAGGTCTGTGAGCAGACAGTGGACTCACAGTGAGCCCTCCTTCCCTGAGGAGCCACCCCACAGAGAATCATTTGGACAGAAGGAAATATGGCTCGGATACTGACAACTTGCCCTAAAATGGGTTTCCTCCATTTCTTATTTCAGGGTGACTTAAGCCTTTGAATTTTGAGAACATTTGGTTCAAAACTTGTTTTACTTAAGTCACCACATCTCCTTTTCATGTCAGAGTTGCAGAAGACAAATCTATGGTCTGCTTTATCATTCCTCGAAGAAACAAAGAGGGGAAAAATAGTATCTTGCTGCATTTCAAAATGCACAATCTCTTAAAAAAATATTTCATAAGAAGAAAACAATGGGTGGACTCACATTCTTGCTCAAAGCCCATAACAAGCAGCACATGTACACACACACAAACCTGCAAAATGATGCAGCAAGCAAACCAACGCAAATTATTACTAGCAGCGGCTCTGAATCATCCGGGGAAATGTATGTCAGGATCACTCCCAGAGCAAGCATCTGTAGCTGCTCTGCTCTTTTTGTTACCAGAGGAGAGTTTGATGGCAGTAGAGCGAGCCACGCTTTTATTATTTGTTGCACAGATCCCCCGTGGCTCTGTTTTATGTAGCCGTCCTCGTTAGTTTACGCGCAGAGATGGCACCTCGCTCGATACCTGCACCCTTGCGATATCAGAGAGAGGCCTGCAGGGTGGAAGGCACAACAACTTCATTAGCTCAGCCAGCAGAGGGAACTGCTGATCAGCACTAATTGCTTGCGCTGGTCTCACGTACATCCTCCCCAGCCCAGTAATCACCTTAGAAGTTATTGGATTGCAACCAGCACTTATGCAGAGAGTTAAATCTGGCAACTCTTGCCCAGCCAAAGCTCCGTGGAGCCAGGGGCAGGTTTAACCTACACCTACCACAGCACTAAAGGACGTGGTTTAGCGATGGCACTCAGTTGGCGAGGCTGATGGATGGACTTGGTATCTTGAAGATCTTTTCCAACCCAGATGATCCCGTGATACCCAGTGTGCAGCCAGACCGCAAGCCCCTTCCCTGCCTGGCCAACACACTTGACATCTTCCAATGGCACCAAGAGCTTCCTGAGGGTTTTTGCCACCTATGCTGCTTTCATGGCAGAAGAGCAGGCGGGCTGTGGCCGTGTCAGCTACACCTCCTCGACAGAGGACATGCAGGAACCCTGCAGCAGCTCCCTGCCACCCCATTTCCTACACCCACAGCAGAATAACAAAAAGGCATCGGTGGGTGGAGGGCCCAGCCTCCTGCTTTCGAGTAAAGTCAGCAGGGGAGCTCAGTTTGGAAGGATATAATGAATTAGCCTGGAACTGGGCCAGGATTCAAGCTACGCTAATTGTGGGTTTAAAATTAGTGTGATGCTCAACACCTGCTTCCTTCGGTCTCGAGAAAGGTGCCTGGGAAAGGTGTTATGGCTGATTTATGCTTTTCCAGCCTGGAGAGGAAGGTGCTTTTCCACCTGAAATTAATTGCTCGGGAGCTTTCCCCGGGCCCTCGCAAGGAATCGGAGCCCCTGAAAGAAGGAGGGAGTTAAAAGACAACAGCTGTAGAGTGAAGCTCAGGGTGGAATAAAGGCAGCACCTTGCAAGATTAATTTTAATTTTCCTCTAATGCAGCCCTGCTTAGGTTAGGAGTTTCCCATCTCCTTAACCCTTCCTTTTTCATTACATTTTTATGTAAAACAAAAAGCCTGTGTGTGCCAAAGCCCTTTGAGGGATTTTGGGGACACCTCTGCCTGTGGTCTGGTGGCAGCTGCCACCCGCCGCGTGGCAGAGCGCACGAGGCTCTCCTACCTGCCCCTCCTGCCCCGTGGCCATGGGCTGGCTTATGGCTGGTAAATATCCCTTACCAGGGCAACCTGCTCTGTGAGGCCCTGGCACAGGCTGCCCAGGGAAGCTGTGGGTGCCCCATCCCTGGAGCTGTTAAGGCCAGGCTGGATGGGGCTTTGGGCTGGTGTGTTTTGTCAGAGGAGGTGGCATGGGACAGAGCTGGCAGGGAATTTCCCCCAGGAGGCTTAGCCTGGGCCAGCTAGTTAAAGCACTTGTAATTTTTACACTTGTTGATGCTATTTCAGTGCTCCGTCTGTAACATCTGGTTGCCTTAGCTACACGAGGTAACTACGGCAACTAGATATTACAGGGAGAGGGATGAGAAATGCAACAACACTGCTGAATCTGGCAAGCTCTAAAATAACGTTTCTGTGAAGTATGGGCAGGTGCAGGAGGCACAGCAGCACCGCGGGGCAGCGAGCAGCAAAGGTGTAGCTGCGGCCCGAGGATCCCCGGCACTGGGCTGCGTAAACCTCTGGAGACATCAGCCCTTGGCTCCTGCTTGCAGCCAGACTGCTGGCCAGAGTGCGTTAGCAAAGCTGGCAGAGCTCAAAGGGAGGTGCCCAGCAGTCACATTGGAGCTATTTCCATGGCAAGATCTTCAGTCCCCATCATTCCTCCCAGAAAAGGAAGGAGCTGGGAGCTGCAAGTTTTCCTCCCCAGTTTTCTGTCTAAGGGGATGAAGAGGAGAAGGGAAGGGTTGTGCTAAATGGAATCACCATGAACCCAAACCCGCTCATGTCCCAAATACCGCCGCTTTAATGATGCCTTGGTGACAACGTAACGCCACCAAACCAATCACAAAATCATGCACAGTTGTCATTTGCCGATTATTTTGGTGCTTTTCGGAACAATGAGTTATATGCCAGGAGGCGAGCAGCTCTCAGAGTGCGCGTTGTGTGCTGCCGCCCCTGCAGATGCAGTTGGTAAAGTGCACTGAAACACCCCCGTGGCCTCTCTGCTCCAGACAGTGGGGAGGAGTGGGTGTTCACAGATTTCAGAGCAAACCACCCAAGATTGCCAGAAAAACGTGTTTATGCCCAAAATGTCTGTCTGGCTTTTTTTTTTTTTTTTTTTTTTCCTCTGTCTTGAAGGAAAAGCTTTTTTGTGTGAAAATTTGGATCCGCATGCTGCATGAATATCCTTCACCAGGATTATCCCTATGCACAAATTTTCCCTACGTGGTTAGGACAAAACATTTCTTACTTGACTCGATGTTACAGACATTGGGAAGCGGAAGACAGCTAGCGCCCTGGCTCCATCTGATGCACTTCATTAAAAGTACCTGTCAGATTAAAACAGACAACCAGCACCAGTTCTGCAAATGAAGTCATCACTCATTAATCCTGGCGACACTGCCTTCAGAGCCACAAAGAACCTTATTATGTTGCTTACATAGGAAATCCCAGTGTTTAAAACAGCAAGCCCCCCCACTTCTCCCCTCAGCCTGCTCCCTGAGTGAAGCTTGCACGGACTCCTGTTTTCCTCGGGGTGTTTTCCTCATTGCCCAGGCTAGCTGGTAGCTAACACAGAGCCACACTTTTCCTGGTAAAGCGCCCTCCTGGAATTCTTCGCTATTATCTTCAGAGAGGTGAACTAGTTAGATGAGCAGAAATGAAAGTCAGTGTCAGTAAATGTAAAGCAATACAGGCTGGAGGCGTAATGAGAGCATTTCGAGCACCTTAAGGGCTCTAAATTAACTGTCTCGGTTTCATAAAGTGACCCGGGTGGCATTGCAGAACTCGGTGAAAATCATTGCTCAATGTGCAATCAGAAGTGTTGGCAAGATATAAGGAGGCTTAAAGAATGGGCTGCAAGTTAGAAAAAAAAAAATTAAGACCATTTCAAATAACCAAGCACAGGGCAGGCCCAGGAATAACACTGTGCGTTCACTGGTCAACAGATTTCACAAAAGGTACCATCGCAAGGGTTTGGAGGAATTTCATAAGACAAAGCAAGTGCAAAACCTTCCCAGTCAAAGCGAGAGTCGAAGGAGCCAGACTGCATTCCCTAGAAAGCAGAAAACAGGAGGGGACCTCAACACAAGCCTGGGCAATGACAAATGATGTGCAGAAGAGATCAGGGGCTTCTCTTTTTCCTATTTTGCACAATGAGGGAATATTCATCAAATTGAAAGATGGGAAATGTACACATTAAAAAGGGAGATATTTTTTCACAGTAAAAATCCCTGGAGATGGCTGTGCAGGCAGCCTAGGAGGTTACTGCCCAGACACCCTTTCTTATGTGGTACCTGCAGGTGCTGGCTCCTTGGTCGCCCACATCACCATCTGACACATTAGCTTAAAACCAGGGTGAGAATAGTCACAGAGCAAGGTCTATGAGGTCTGGCAGCTAGCAGCTGAGGTACGTGCTCCACTCTGCTTCCTTACGGGGTTGAAAGCCACCAGCGGAGGTGTAGTAACAACTACATGATGATAAAGAGCTGCAGCTGCTGGCTTAATGAATGTAGGTCAGAGCTGCAAAACCTTAATCTACCGAGGAAGTATGAATGTCACAAACATAATGAGATTCGTGCAGGACCGCGAGTTGTGGGGGTAGCCTGCACTCCCAGAGCTCACCAAAATTAACTGACAGCGAATGTATTGGTTCTCATGTCGATAAACATGGACTAAGCAGCAAGACCTGAAAACACAGTGACCTTGTCAGGTGCTGGTGAAGGATTACAAGCTTTTCCCACTCAGCTGGCAACGTAGGGCTGGGAACTTTCAACAGACTGCAGCATCATGAGGCCTTGATGAGAGTGTTTTTCCCAATACGTGCCAAAACTCCTATGTGATCCAGTCACGTAACCAGCGCTGCTTGGTGAGGAATATCCAGTGAGTTCAGTGGGAACATCCTCTCGGGGCAGCTTGCAGCGTCTGGGAGCCCCGAGCTGCACGCAGCGTCTTTGGTACCGTGTCAGCCTTAATATGGGATGAGCTGCTCTAATCGGACACCCATTCAGGGAGGGAAGAGAGAGCCTTCGAGGCTTGCTCTGTGCAGACACACGTCTTTCTCACTATTAATCTGAAAAGTGACATCGATTATTTTGTCTGTGGTGGAGCCGTGATTACTTTATTTCTATATGTTGAGGTCTACAGCAAAAACGTTGTGTGAAAAGAACCATAAATTTCACAGGTGACTTGAAAACTAACACGGGGATGGGAAGAAGACCCAAGTCTAAGACTCAGCAGAAAATAGACATGGTTGTATTCTGCTGGGATCAGGGCTTACAGGCTCTCTCTCAAGGAACAGGCTGAAGTAAGGCTGTACCTTGGAGAGCTGTTTTTTCTCTTCATAGATTCATGCACAGTGGTTTGAACACTGTACCCACCTTTGGTCATTCCCTAATATTCAGGTCGTTAAACCTTTCTTTGGTCTACAGAAGCGAAAGCAGCCTAGGCTTTGCGTGATGGGACCTGTTTTTTTGTAGAAGTGGGTTATCAAAACTGGTTTCTACACAGAGAAGTCAACTGATTTATTTTTGTTTAACCTACCAGGTGGAACTGAAAATGCTCCCGATCCTCTCCTGCTACACAAGGAAGCGTGGTGGTCTGTGGTGCTGAACAAAGCAGCCGTGGTGTCAGAGCAGGAGCGTGGTGCTAGCTCAGATGGTTCCCACGTGGATGTGCCCCATTCTAGGAACCCATAAATGCTGCAAGGTGGGGCTGGTTTGGTTAGTGATTTAGGTGATCTGGTCATTTAAAGTGGGTTGCTGTGTGTGAAAGCAGAAGAGGAAGGGATAATCTGCTCCAAACCCAAGTGCTGTGTAACCCCGTCACGCCTCCGTGAGCGCTGCCACCTCTCAGAGGACACGCCGGGAGACCCACCTCTGGGCACAGCCACACAGCTGAGAGGATGTGCTGCTATTGCCCCCTCCGGAAAGATTCCTCCTCTTTTGGCATACAAACTTTGGAAATGCTGGTCTTCCTCTAGGAGCACCGATCCTGAGGGCCATACCAGACAGGGGCCTGAACAACTCACAAAGTCTATGACTGATTCACTGAGCCCCATCCAGCCTGGCCTCGAACACCTCCAGGGATGGGGCATCCACAGCCTCTTGGGCAACCTGCTCCTGTGCCTCACCACCCTCATAGTGAAGAATGTCTTCCTGATATGTAATCTAAACCCACCCTCATTTAGCTTAAAACTGCCATGTCTTGTCCTATCATCTCTTCATCCACATTCAACCACCTCATCTCCTGGTATCTACCTGGTATCTTGCTCTGGGATGTCAGGTATTTGTGGCTCCCTGGCCTCCTGTGAGACACCAAACATCTCATCCATCCTTCCCCAGCTTCCCTGGGCTCTGTCACTTGTCTGCTCTGCTCATCTTGCCTGGCTCCATCAGCTTCACTGCCTCTGCTCTGCCTGCCAAGCCTCAGGCACTTCTCACCCCCATGCCCAGGAGGACCTCATCCCCTGTGCATGGGCCTACAGGGTGGTTTGAGTCCTTGTCACCCCAGGGTGTCAAGAAGACACTGTGAGAAAAGCCATTAGCATTTAGTACTCTGTATTTGTTAC